TTCCTCTCCTCCCTCCTCTTTCACTCTTGTTACTTTTATTTCTCTGAATGATGAATCCAACAATCATGAAATACCACCCTATTTATCTCCCTCTGCCAATTCGCGAAGTCGCTTCCTCCTTTCTTCCATCGCAAATCCATCGTCCTCATTGACCTGACTATGTTCATCGGGATAAATGTTTGTGTTCCTATTACGTTTCGGTTTAACAACCGAGAGTTCATTTATCCTTGTAAAGTCCAATCGTGCCCAATATGTTCGACGACATCTAGGACATTGACGATTCAAAGATTCCACCAATGCAATCACAGTCTCATTGAGTCTTTTTTCATGTTCTTTATTCATGCTTGCTAGAACATTCAACTCCTTCTTCACATTGCTCAACTCCTCCATAAATCGTTTTGGTGAATGAGCTAGCACGACATCGCCAAGCAATTTCCTAAGCTGGTACACCTGCTCATTGTGACGTTGAGCCCAATAAAACCTGGAGTGGTAATCCCAGCGGTCACCGAATTTGTCCACAAACACAGCATCTATCAACTCTTCCCGTGCCTCCTTATACAATTGGCCAAGATTGACCACCGTTGCCCTCATCTGGTTGTCACTAACAGGAAACTGCATGGCATTTTGCACGTCCAACATTGCATTTTGTAAGCCAGCTCAGAAGCAACAGTTCCAACTGAATGTAACATCGCAATCATATCGCTTTTTTGAAGAGCCTCCAAACTTTCAGTTGATCGAAAATCGAAGACTGCATTTCGAGAAGATGGATCTTCCCACCCCAGGCCACGACAGGACAACAATCCCCTCACTCCACATTCCGCCTTTTCAAGTCGCCGACGCAAACCATAACACTCTTCCAACAGGTGGGGATGAACTTGGGTGCTATACATCATAATCTCATCAAGCAAATCATCTCGAATCTTCGACCTCATCCGAGAACGAATCCGCATCTCCATGTCCATGTTAACTTTTGGCTCCTCTTTGACATGCACAGTATCGGGCACAGAGGAATCTCTCACCTCATCGTTTCATTCCTCTTGAAGGAATTTTTCGATGACTGACTTTGCGTTGACCTCAATGTTGGCCAACGCACTCTTAACTGCATTCACTTTCACCTCCTTCTTCTTCAACATATCCAACAACTCATCCTGAGTCCAACGAAGTCCTTGGTTGTCCGAAACGAACCTACCAAATACTTCCCTCAAGGCATGATCATTTGGAACCTTACCCACCACACCATACCGCACCACAACATTCGATTGATGGCGACGTTGTTCCATATCATGCATCTCCCTCGCCATGGTATACTAATACTGTTCACAATCTTGGACGTACTTATGCATTCTGGAATCATTATCATAGAGGTAATGATCGTACGAAACATCTAGATCATGTGGTTCATCGATATGCATCGACACATCGGAGCGTGATGGTCCCGCACCCGCTCTCCGACCATGTGTCTCGACCGCGGCGTTATTGAGCGGACGCTTGACCATCTTCGCCGACCACTACGAACAATAAAGAATATGCCAACTGCAAATTAGATGACTGTCTGCATGGGGCGTCCGTGGGTCAGCGCCAGGTCAACATCCGTCGATAATTGTTGACATGGAGCAGACGCTTGACCATCTGCGCCGACCATTTGCATGCCTGCCTGCCGGGGCGTCTGTGGGCCAGAGCCAGGTCAACGCCTTTCTGTTTGCCTCTCTGCCTGTCTGTCTGGGCCCCGGTAGCGCCTGGCCTATGTACGGGTCCAGGCCCAGGCTTTGGATTTGTGGGGGGGGGGGGGAACACCAAGAAAAAGGCTCCGGGCCTATTCCTGGACCCGGCCAGCGGCTTAGGCCTGCGCCTGGACCGAACACCCAGTCTGCTAGCCAAGCTATATATACGTTGGATAGGAAGAGGATTCTCTA